ATACCACAGCTAGCAATACAGGATCTGAGAAAGGTTCTTGTAATTTACTTGAAGAAAAATTAGGAAAAGAATTATTGAATTTAGCTTGTCGTCATCACATTACTGAAATTGTTGCAGGATCTGTGTTTAAAATTTATTTTCCAACAACGTCCGGACCAGATTTTGCTATTTTCAAACGATTTAAACAAGCCTGGAAGAATATCAAGAATTTGCCCAACAGTGCAAGATGAAGAAGCTGAAAGATATCTTTCAAACGTCTCGATTGAAAAAAATCGTCTAAAATTAATTACTTAAAAAAATGTTTGCAAGACTCACAACCACGAGATGATTATAAAGAACTTCTTGAATTATGTCTAATATATTTAGGAGAGTAACCTCCTAGTGGAATAAGATTTAAAGCACCTGGAGCTTTCCATCATGCTCGGTGGATGGCAAAACTTATTTATTCAATTAAAATATGGTTATTTAGAGATCAGTTTAAAATGATGCAACATGAATTAAACGCAGTAAGAGATATTAGCATGTTTGCTGCGTTAATATATGTTCGACAGTGGTTTACTGCACCACTCAGTGCCTCGGCCCCATTTAATAATTTAGATTTTCTAAAAAATATTGAGGAATATCGTGAAATGAATGAAAATATAGCGACAGCTGCAACCAAGGCAATGAAGCGGCATCTATAGTATTTAAGTGAAGAACTTATATCTTTGGCCTTTTTTAGTGATGATGTAGAGATTGAAGTTAAAAGAAAAATGATAACTGCCCCTCAGCGTCAATGCGTAGACAATAATAGGCCATCAAAGAAATTAGCAGATATTACAAATGTAATGAGTAAATTCCTTGAGGACTTTATAACGTGTAAATCACTTTCATTTTTTAATTTCTTAAACATTGACATTTCCTTTCTTGAAGAGGATCCTTCAAACTGGAAAAACAATGAGTCGTATGCCGACTCTAAAGAAGTAGTGAAGTCTCTTAAAGTTGTTGATGATTGCGCCGAAAGAGGGGTGAAGTTAGTACAAGACTTTAATGCTGTCTTAACAAAAGATGAAGAGCAGCAAAAGTATGTGCTAAATTTAGTTGCAGAAAACAGGGTTGTGAAACCAGATGCAAAAAAATCAACATTGAGTGCTAAACAAACCAGGCGACAATGAGCAGCTGTTCTTGTTTAATGTTGTTTAATGTTGTTTAATAAAAATTATTATGCGTAATAAGAGCTTTATATTCGTTTTTATTTTATTAAAATCGAAAGGTAAATAACCGAAAAGTGCACAGAAAACGAAGGTCAATATTTTACTAAACTTTTGAAAATTCCGATTTTAGAGGGGTATAAAGATCGCCCCAGCGCGACCTCTAAATATTAACCAATTTGGCTGATTTTTTTGGCACAATGTTTTTTTTCATAAATGAACACATTTAGACCTTAGGAATAACAAAAATTAAAAAAAAGTTTTTTTGGATCACCCTAATATATATATATATATATATATATATATATATATATATATATATATATATATATATATATATATATATATATATATATATATATATATATATATATATATATATATATATATATATATATATATATATATATATATATATATATATATATATATATATATGTATATATATATATATATATATATATATCGCGTCACGGTAAGGAAGGAGGCGTGAACTTCCTGGTTAAATGCACTTCCGCGTTGCTCTGTGACAGGACAGTAAAGACTTCTTGGGGCACCTTAATAACAAACATATATATATATATATATATATATATATATATATAATATATATATATATATATATATATATATATATATATATATATATATATATATATATATATATATATATATATATATATATATATATATATATATATATATATATATATATATATATATATATATATATATATATATATATATATATATATATATATATATACATCAGGGCTCGAATTAACGCAAAAAAAATCTAATTGCAAAAAAAAAAATTTTTAGCCTTCCCCTTAAACCTTGCGCTTCTTTGCGGTAATGGGGGAGGTGGGGGAGAAAGTTGCGTTAGTATATAATTGTAACTTTTGTACGTAATTGTTCTACTTTTAATATATTATCTCTCATATTTAAATATAAGCTTATACTTTTCTTGTTCGGCAGAGTTTAAAATAGCGTAAGTTACTTTTAATTGTTAAGGGTGAATTTCCACTCATCCGTTTTTTCACGGGAACGGGAAAGGAAAAATAAAAATAATCACGTGGGCATGCGTATTATAAGTTATTTGTCCGAAGTAAAACTACGCATGCTTACGTGATTATTTTTTCCGTTCCCGTAGAAAAAAGGATGAGTGGAAACTCACCTTTAACAGCTATAAAACAACATTAAAACAAACTGCAAAGTTGTTTTAAAAATATAAAGAGCTTGGGTTAATGTAAAACAAATTTGTGACGCTGTTTTATGTTGATTTATACAATTTATAAAATAAAATGCGTTTAAAATAAAAGGAAGCAAATAAATAAAATTGATCTTGTTAATAAACTAAAACAAAACTTCATAATTGCGCCTATAGACCTATACGAGTTTATAATATATGGACCAAAAGAGTAAGATCAAAGCATAAAAACATTAGATACCACGTCTTTTATAAATTATCGTTTCCTAATTAAGTTTTTCATTCAAATGGTTTTTAAACTGATGTTTTCATTCAATTTTTTTTATTCTAATTGTTTTCCAAAAAAAAGTGCAACAGTAAATCGAATTATATTAAGTATAAGTATATGCTTAAATTATTTTTTTAGAAAATTTTTTTTTTCGAACTGAAGTAAAATAATTTATTAAATTTTATTTAAATTTTTTATAATTTTTATTTTAACTTGCAATTTCCAATCACTGCTTTGATGTTTGCAATAGAATGTTTCTACTTTTAAAACTATTTTCAAGAAAAATATATAACTCAAAACATTAAAAAAATTTACGATTTAAGAAAAAAAAAGCTTTTTTTTTTTCCCTTGTTTTATCAAACTTTTTTTAAATTTCTAAATTTTTTTTAAATTTCAAATTTCAATCACAAAATTATTTGAACAAGTGAATTTTAAGGCTAAAGTTCTCTTGTTAAATTGATTTCTTTTTTAATAAAATTCCAGAAAACAATTGCGTATTTATAGAAAATGTTTAGTATAGATGTCGCTATAAATAAATTGAAAATATAAAAAATGGTGTCGCGTTTTTCATATTCTATTTGACAATCTTTGTTAAAATAATTATTTATATTATGTGTTAACAAAATGTAAGATCTAAATTGAAACATGTTTATGGCTAACTTTTGCGAGTATATTAAATTAATTAATATAATTGTTTAATTAATACTTGAGTAACTGTAAGTTACTATCTTAACTTAACTGGTTGTTTTGATTTAAGTTATAAGTTAATTTACTGTGATATACTCTATCCATTCAGTAAAGTTAACTAAATATAACTTCAATAGTTTCAAGGTCGTTAAAAACGAAAAACGTGAAACTAAAAAAGTTGCTGGTTTCTTTTAGCACAATTTTACTAATAAAAATTTTATTTAATAAAAACGAATTTATATATACTTTATTATACTTAAAGTAGTAAAAATAATTATATAAAATTGTTATTAAAATAATAATTTAAATCATTATTATAAAGTTAATTTGGAGCAATGCTTTTTTTAAAAAAAGATAAAAATGCTGTTTTGTTAAAAAAATAGAATAAAGAAAAAATTATTTTTAACTTTTGTTATTTTAATTTCTACGCAGAGATTTAAAGTAGTTAAAATTAAAAAGTGCTTTACGTTGAATAAAAATCTCCGCGCGAAAGAGCAAATGATCATGCTTCAAAAGCAAATGATCATGACTTTACTACGAAAACATTACTTTTAAGAATTGCCAAAAAAAAAAGAAGCTAAATTAGAAAAATAGTAAATAAACAACTAAAAAAGTAAATCAATCGCGAAAATATATGTTTCTTTTAAGAAAAAACTAATCGCGAAGGTATAAAAAGCAATCGCGATTCGCTATCGCCATACGCTTAATTCGAGCCCTGTATATATATATATATATATATATATATATATATATATATATATATATATATATATATATATATATATATATATATATATATATATATATATATATATATATATATATATCTATATATATATATATATATATCTATATATATATATATATATATATATATATATATATATATATATATATACATATATATATATATATATATATATATATATATATATATATATATATATATATATACATATATATATATATATATATACATATATATATATATATATATATATATATATATATATATATATATATATATATATATATATATATATATATATATATATATATATATATATATGTATATATATATATATATATATATATATATATATATATATATATATATATATATATATATATATATATATATATATATATATATATATATATATATATATTTATATATATATATATATGTATATATATATATATATATATATATATATATATATATACAGCGGCGTAGGAATTTTTTTAAATGTTGGAAATGTCCAAATAATAAACAACAAGAATATTCCAAATTTTTTTACATTCTTATGTATGTTGAAAAAATTCTTTAAAAAAAAATTACTATGATAGGAGAATGGGAACAAAAAAACCCTAAATTTTAGCCCCCCTACCCCAAATATGAGAGCAACAAATTGATGAAATATTTTTTGTACTATTTTTAACTAGACTTACATTCATCAAGAAAATTTTAAATTTCATTGTAAAATATTTTAGTGTTCAAAAATTATGACCATATAAAGTTTAAACCCCCTCAATTTGAGGGGGTTGCAATAAAATCTATACTAATTATGAGTAAAAGCTTCAAATAGAAACTTATGACAGCAATAAAATTTATAAAATAATGAAAACAAAATCAGAGACTCACAATCATTTTCATTTACAATTTTTAGATCTTTAATAGAACCATCTGCTGCATAATACCAAGGATTTGTAACATAAACATAAACATTTGAAAAAGTTTGGGGATTTGTATTTGTAGTGCTATAAATAACGCTTTCATTTATATATATTTTATATTTATATAATCCATTCTGTTTAATTTGTGAAATTTTAATATTTGACCACACATTAAGTGGTAGTATATCTGTGTATATTTCAAAGTTTACATTTCCATTCACTGCAGAACGAAAGTACAATCTTCCTGATATAGTCCATACACTAGAAACTCTGTAACCATAATTCCCATAATTGTCCCCAATGGTTAAGTGAATAACATTTTTTTCAAATGATGTTATTGATATGAGGTTTAGCTTGAAAGAAACAGAGTATGTCTTTTCTAAAGATGTCAATATTGATAGCAAATTGTTGCGGGTCAAAACATGCTCATTGACTAAAAACAAAAGAAAAAATGCAAAACATAAACATAAATATTGTCTTCTAAATTTAGCAAAAATTTTATAAATAAAAAAACTCTTAAATTAGCATTCTATAAACTGTTGCTGACCCTTTTTGCATAACAATACCTTTGACTTGAAATTTCTTGATTTATCACCACAAAAATAGATTTAAAAAGACTCAACACAATGCTTAGAAACACAGCGCTTGTTAAATGTTTCAAAATCAAACCCAAAAATGCCATTTATACCAAAAAAAAAATAAAATAAAAGTATTGTAAGTTCTAGTAAAATAGGGTCGAGTATTAATAGAAACCAACATAAAAGTTCTATACCTGAACCATATAAACCAAAAAATATTTTTCCATTGGTTTGTCTTCAGAATAATAAAACTTATATTATCTTCAAAATTATTAACTTTAGGGTTATTTAAAATTTTAGGATATCAACATAAACCATTTTTATTATTATGAATCTTGGTTAGTTTTTCACAATGAAAAAAACAATTCCTGAAAATTTCAGTATAAAATCTTTTGTGGTTCATGAGATATAGTCATTTGAAATTTCTGATTTTTCTAAAAATAAAAAATCAGTAGCGAAACATGTTTTGTTCACACTTTGAATCTCTGTATTTTAAAAACAAAATTCCAGAAAACCTTCTAGTTTTTTTTATTGTATACAATTCTAGACTTAAGTAAAACTTTTAAATTTTCGAATCTCACAATTTATCTATAATGACTACCTAAAAAACCTTAAAATTTTTTTGCAAATATAAAAAGTTAGTTTTGATAGGTCAATATACAAAATCTGCAATTTAAGAAGTAAAAAATTTTTCAAATTTTTTACTTCAAAATTTTCAGAAAATTACTGGTAAGATACAATTCAGAATGTAAAAATATTTCATAATCAGTACTAGAAATAAGTCTTAAATTATACCAATATTAAACTCTTAGGGCTACTTAAAAACTAAAAGTTTTAGGTAGCCCTAGCCTACTTCCCAAAACACGCACCCCATTAACACTTATTTACTTTTTAACAATGTTAAAAAACGCGTGTTATGCATGCATCGTTTTTTCTCAGAACTTAAAAAAAAATTGTATTAGAACATTTCTCCTTACACGATGTTTCTGGTTTTATGTCTGATGCATGAAGTGTTGTTATGTACAAACACATAAACATACACATTTAAAAGCTGTGACATTGAGTTTTATTAGTAAAAAGACTGCATATAAAATTTTACAACATTTTAATTAAATATTTTAATGTAAATTGAAGCATTTTTTCCAAATTCTTCACCATTCCAACCTTTCCCATTTATAAGACTTTTATTTGATTATTATTTTAAAATTTAATTTACAACTTATACAAAAAATGATGTTGGCAAGTCAATTTACTTATAAGAGTTATTTGACTTGCCAACGCAATGCACAAGTTAATTATGTAGTAAAAAATATTATAAAGTTATAAACAATCAATATAAATATTGAATCTTTTAAATAAATATTCTTTAAATCGATTTTTGCTCGATTTCAAATAAATAATTTATAAAAAGTTTATAATAATTTTGATAAACAAATAAATCAAGTTTATAATAATTTTGATTTGTTGTTATTTAAATATGTTATTTATGCTATTGTACAAATGTAATATTTCAGTTTTTTTTTGAGCTGATAGTTCATAACATCTACCAGTTGCTGATTGAACTTTTCAAGATAAAATTTAGCCTAAAATGTGCAATTAGAACCCAGCAAATATCTTCTTTATGCTATTCTAAACCCAACAGAGTAAACAACAAAAGGATGCAATTTTGCTTCACTTTTGTTGAAATGTAAACCTTGTACTGCATCTTGAATTAAAAAACTATAATTTTCAGCAAAGTTTAGTAATTCTAAAATATGATTACTTGGTAATGTTATTTTTAGATGTTACAAATGTGCTGCTTGATTTTTGGCTATATAGTGATGGTGTCTCAATCTATCTATTTTTTATTTTTTGACAATTTTTTTCAATAAAATTATCTACTGGAAAAGTTACTGTAACTATATCATACTTTTTTTTTGTTTTTTTGCCACTTATTAAAGGTGATTTCTTTCATTCTGTGTTTATCAAACAAAGTAGTAAGATACTCTGTAAGTGTGTTGGTATCTGGGCAGCTTTGGCAACTGTGCAGCATACAGGTATGATTTGTTAGTTCACATACAACTAATATCATAAAGTATATTTTTTTTATGGTTTAAAATATCAGTTATTTTTAATGCTAAAAGTTCTTGTGGTACTCATAATAAAATACTGAATGGAGACCTGAAGTACTTCCATCTAGTAAGTGACCCGGGCCCCGGCCCCGGCTATAAAAGAAACTTTTTTCAAATCCGGGGTTATAAAAATTTTTTTTTAACCCTGGGTTGATAGCCAGAGTGAGAAAAAGTTTATAATACTTTTTATATTATAATTTTATGCTTACATTTACTATTAATTAAATTTACTACGAATGGCATAAATTCATATCTGTTCAAACTCTCATTTACTTCTAACAAGATTGCAAGCAAATGCTATTAAGTTATGAGTTACTTTACAATAAAGAATAAGTAGAAGTTTTTATAACATCTTCAACTCTCTTTCTTCATTTCTCTTCAACTTTAAGTCAAAGTTGTAGAGAAGTAATAAAAGCTTCCAAACTTTTATTCCAGAAAGAATAAAAGCTTCCAAGATGCACTTTATGCATACATTTTATGGATATAATCATATATGTTTGCTATTTGTTTAGATGCTGGCATACAATATTCTTTTATTTTTATATAAACATTAGTGTTTATATGGATTAGCATTTGCCAAAAGAGAAAACAATCAGATGGATGTGTGGTGCGACTCAAGCAAGACAAAACAAGAAAGCATAATCTTAGACAGATTTGAAAAACATTATATTGAAAAATGTTTGTTAGAAAAGATTAAAGTAATTTAGGCATCAGCATGTAGAGAGGTAGCAGCTTCATTAGAAAATGGTAGTGATAGTAAGAAAACCTGAAGAGAGTGCCTTGCATATTGTATGAATGAGCTTTAGTAGAGAAAAAAAATGCTCCAGATTGTTTATATTAGAGAAACAGCATAAAAGAGGAATGTTAAAGCCTGATGATGATGATGATGATAATGATCATGATGATGATTATGACGATCATGATGAGCATCATCATAAAGATGATCATCATCATCATCATGATAATGATGATCATCATGATCATCATCATCAGGCTTTAGCATTCCTATTTTATGCTGCTGATGATGATCTTGATCATGATGATAATGATGGTGATAATGAAGATCATCATCATTATCATCATGATAATAATGATGATTATGATAATCATAACGTTTATATATGCATATATCTGGTGATTCATAAATAATGATACCATTTATTTTTCAGTTTTTTTTTATTAAGATATTAACTAACTAACATTCAAAATAGATTCAAAAGATAGAGAAAATTTTTTTCTATAAGATAATGTCTTTTTATTTTAAAAAATAGTTTTCACCATTCTCACAAACATGATTCAATTATCCAGTTTTCACCAAATACTTTATTGCCATTTTTTTTGGCAATCGATAAAACTTCTTCAATATACCCTTCATGGTTAACGGTACCCTTTTCAAAAATAACTAATGGTGATGCACCTTTTGAACAAACTCCTAACCAAACCATAACACGTTCAGGAAATTTTCTTCGCTGCTTGATTTCTCCGATGGTATCAGCTTCAACGCGATTTGAAGCCCATATTCTGTCATTTTGAGAGTTATAAATACCATCAATATCAAAAAAATTTTCGTCAGAAAAAAGGATTCGCATCTATCAGCTTTTCGATAATTGTTACGAATCCAATTTGCAAATTAACTCTCTTTTCTTTGTGGTCATCGGATAATAGTGGTTGGACAACTTTTTTGTAGGATCGAAGCTGAAGATCATTTTTAAGAACACGATAAACACTTGGTTGAGAAATATCGAGTTCGTTTGCCAATTTTCGTGTAGAAATCGGCTTTTTCTTCCGTTTCAGCTGGTTTTTTATTTTTTGGATAGTTGCTTTTGTTCGAGCTGTGCGAGGACGACCAAGAGGTTTTGAAAGCACCATCTTTTGATTGTTGGTAAGCTAAGAGTGCCACTCAAATCACAAAAAATTTTAGTTGGACCATCACCATTTTTATACTTAGAAATTACAACATTTTGCTAGTCTTGACTTTTCATTGTTACTGATTCACTTGCGTGCGCGCAGAAAAAAAAAGAGAATGGTACGTTATTCAGCACAAAATTCTCTATCTTTTAAGACCATGTGCGGTTCATACTTTGTACAGAGGCTAAAATTAATCAATACAAAAAGGTATCATTATTTATGAATCACCCGATATATACAAAATATAACATGAATTTTGAGTTAAAAAATATATACTTTAGGTTGTAAAAATGTTTATGCCACCCCGGTCACAAACCTGGCCCCAGCCCCAGTCAAATATCAACCCCTGTCATTATATAAACCGATAAATCATTAAATAAACCATTAGTTTTGAAAAAATTAAGTCACTTTATTTTAAAATACTTTTTAATTTAACTTTGTATTGGTTAAATGAATTGCAACAAAAACATCCGTCATACTAAGTGTTACCCTATCCAAGTACTTTTCATGGTAATTATAAATAATTTAAATAAAAGTGCACAAGTTCTTGATCTTTTTTTGTTAATTCCTCAAAATATTTATTTTTTTGATTTTGGTAAACTTTGCTTCATGAAAATCTTTATTTAATACTTTTCCAATGCAACATTCAGTTAGATCTAACAATGCACTATTAATTAATATAGAAAAAGATATATTTAAATAAAAGTTTTAAAATATAAAGATTTCCATAAGTTTTGGCACAACAAATATAAAAGTATAAATTTTATATGTATAAAAAAAAGATATGAAAAGAACACACAATAACTTATTTATCTTCAAACATAAAACACTGTGATACACTGTGTAAGGAGAAGTGTTCAATTACAATTTTTTTCTGTGGCAAGTTTTGAGGAAAAATGTACATTGTTAAAAAGTAAATAGTCAACGATGGGGAGATTGGATATGGTTTTTGAACTATTTAAAAACTGAGTTTTTAATTCAGGCTTAATTTAAGACTTATTTCTAGTACTGATTATGAAATAATTTATATATATATACTTTGTATTACAATATATAATACAAACTAAAGTAAATCTAGAACTCTATTTTTAATGTTGTTAATTCATTGTGTGTAAATTTCATTATTCAGATTTTGTATTTTCCCTATGAGTACTCGCTTGTTTTTTCTTCTGAAATCACTGTAATAAAGTCTATTAAATCAGAAATTTTTTTTTTTTTTTTATTGAAACCAGTATTGATCCTAGGTTATCGATGGTTTGAAGTGAACAAAACATGTTTTCACTAACATGTTTTCACTTTCAAAACATGTTTTCACTTCTGAAATTATCACAAATTGATCTGATTTGCATGTTCTGAAAAAACATGCAAATCAGACAAAATTCTGCTAAAGTTAATTTTCTCTCTCGTGCTTGTCATTATCACACTCATATTGCATTCTTTACCTCTACAAATCTCATATTTGCTCATATATGGGACACTGTCTTAGTTGCTTCTTGAATGAGAGTCAACTATTATACTGTATATAAGAGAATGCTATCATCTCTAATTTCATCTACAAAAACTCATTCTTGTAAATTTCTTGTCATTTAGTCAGCCTTTCTACCGCTTTTTTTTATGAAAATTTAATGTAAAAGATTTCCATTTAAAAAAAATCAAATCAAGTTTTCTCTAAAAATATAAATTAGATTTAATCATCTTTTATACACTTGGAAAATGCATAAACATTTTTTAAGTATATAAAAAGATTTTATACAAACCATTTTATACAAATCATAAAAAATTTGTATAAAATATTGCCAAATTTGAAATATTTGAGCCAAAACAATATTTCATTAAACACCTATTTTGGCATATAATTTGTTTATTTAAGATGTCCAAAAAATTATTTAAAATATACCTTTTACATTTGGAAGTGCAGTTGGTGGTAATGTCTCAAAAAAAGAACAACCTAATTTGAAAGATGTTGTTTGACCACTAAACCCATACAGACATTGACAATCTCCATAAACATCAACTATTGCACTTGCAACATACCCATTCTGAGTTGGATTTTTTTTTTGATAATCCACACAAAAATTCATACATGAACTCCATGAAATGTATCCAATATAAATATAAGAATTATAGTATATTTGATCCGTAGAACTTACTTTTGACAATTTGCAACTTTTTGAAGATGGGCCTGAAAGTTAGAAATTTAAACATTAATTTACTATAATCAATGAAAAAAAAACTTTATTGAACAAAAATTGAAATAAAAAAAGGAAGAAAAAACTAAAAATAAATACCAAATAATGACTACACCTAATATGGTACGTAGCAACTAGCTTTCAAAAGTTGTATTTAGGTTTAAACTGCCTTTTAAATGTACTTTGTTTTAATTAAAAGTCACCATACTGAAATCATTTACATAAAAATGATGACTTAAAATTAAACAATTGTTTTATTGTCCTAAAACGATGCAGTTAAAGAAAATAGCATTTTAAATTTAAATATAAAAATCTAGATAGTTAATTTAACTTTTGTCTTTTTAAATTCAATTCTTTCATAAAATTCTTTCATTAACATGAAAGCTTAAGCTTTTTTATTGATGTTGCGCAGTTCAAAACACCTATGTTCTTTTCAAAACACCTACATTCTTTTCAAAACACCTATATATAATATTGGTCTGTACTGTTTTTATTAGAAAAAATTTACTTGTGTTACAGGTTGCATAACTCATATTGAGCTGTTAAATGCATGCGGCATCATGCATCCGGAGTAGAAGTTCTTGATTGAGTAAACTTAAATTATTAGGAAAGAACATCTTCAATTAATTGCCAATATCTATTAATTTTCTAATTTATTAACAGTTTCATTTATGTAGTAGTTGTGGAGTGGTAAAGCATAGAGCGCTTGCTATTTTAAGCAAGAAGTTTTAAATTCGATCTCCACTACATCCCTTGTAGTATCCTGGTAGAATTCCTGGAGAGGTGAATAATAAAATTTGTATTATAAATATAAGATAAAAAAATTGTTTAATCGTATGTAACTGTTTAACTGTAATTTATAAGTTTTATGAAAAAACTAATTTAACAACATAATCAACAAACTTTTATTCAAAAATACCTCAGTTTGTCTTTGTGATGGAAGGGTAGCTAAACCTAGGTTTAGCTACCCTTCCATCTAGATTCTAGGGTAGTTTAACCTTAATAGACAAAGTCTTGGTTTAAATATTTTTTTACTGTTAATAACAGTAAATTTAATAACAGTATTCTCAAATTAACTGATAGTATTTGAGAAAATAATCGATGTAAAACTGGATAGTAATTAAAAAAATATATATTCTAAAAATACGAAAATATTTTCAGTCAGCCCGGAAGGCTTATAAGTAGCTCTCATTACTTCGTTTAGAATAGTATATTTCCAAAGGGAGAATCTGTAATAATCTAGAAACTTTCTAGTTAATGGTATTTAAAAATGTTTTTTGAGATACTGAAGTGTCTACTCAAATTGTCCCTACTACTGTAATACTCAAGTTGTCCCACTACTGTAATACTCAAGTTGTCCCACTACTGTAATACTCAAGTTGTCCCACTACTTTAATACTCAAGTTGTCCCACTACTGTAATACTCAAGTTGTGCCACTACTGAAATACTCAAGTTGTCCCACTACTGTAATATTAAACCAACCAACCAACCAACCAACCAATCAACCAATATATTTTCTGAAATATTTGGTATTACATTTCAAGGTTGCTTACAAATAGTATAAACTACTAATATTAAGTAAACACCTAATAACAATGATTAAAATAGCTATAGTAATAATAACAATAAAATTATTTATAATAAAATAATGATAAATAATAACAATAATAACAATAATAATAAATAATAATAATAATAACATTTTACTTTAAAAATAGTAATATTAATAATATAGTAGTTAATATAAACAATATAGCAGTTTAAATAAATCGGTATAACTTTCTATACAGCAATCGCTTATACATACAAAGTTACAGTTACAAACAGTAATAAAGTGACAAAACGTAACAACTAACGATGACATAAAAACAACTATTGCTAAAAAAAATCATAAAGATTTAGTAACTATATTAATCATAACTCTTATAATATCATAACCAGTGGCGGATTAAGACTTCTTGGGGCCCGGGGCTATTTTTGTTTTAAAATACTTGGGTTGCAATATCTCAATTTAAATCCAACACCATAAAATTAAGTTTATAAAAAGCTTCTGGATCACAAAATTTTTCAAGTTTATAACTTAAATTAGAGAACTTATCAATAACAGATAAAAAGGAATATTAGGTTGCAAATGAAAATTTTTGAAAATCTGTCTGGTTAAAATGAATAAATTATAATTAATTAATGTTGAGCTTGCTTCACTAAAGCAACTAAATTCTATTACGCATGATGCTAAATTAATTACAATTTTTATTATAATAAATATAGAATAAGACCTATCTCCTTTACATGCCTGGATAAGGTGTTTAAAACAATATCAAATCTGTAGTAAATATAGGGTAACTCTGAGTTACCCTATATTTACTACAGATTTGCTATTGTTAAAAATACAATGTGAAGTTATTAACTCCACATCAAATTACCCAGACCATTAAACCATGTATCTTTCTTTTTGTTTTATATATTGATCAATGATTCCTATTTATAAAAAAGTTATAATTATATGCAAAATTTTAACCAAAAATGTTGAGCAATTCACACGATATTACAATTTTAATATAATTTTTCTTTTCAAGTTTCCCAAAATTAACCAGTTTTCATAACATTAAAAAGTTTTTCCTTTGTAAAATAAATAATATGAAACATTTGTAATGCTTTTTAAATACAGATTTTAATAAATACACTTAAATGCTGAAACATGTTAATATAAATAAATTAAGAAAACATCTTTTTAATGTAAGTCAAAATGAGGATAAAATTTCTCAAAACAGCCTTGGGTTTTTTGCTTTCAATATATTTATTTACTTAAATATTACATACGGGTAATTCCATGTCAAATGACCAGGGTCATGTCATCATAGATCTCAGATTTTGCTGATTTTTATAAAGTTGAGAGTGCTTAGTAAAATAAGAGTTACTTAAAAATTTTAACCTCTGACTTCAAGAAGATCATGAAATATGACCGTTTTACTTTTAGCAGATTTTGACCAAGCCCCTTATGACCCTTCAGAATTGCAACATTTATTCAAAAGCTTAAAATCGCATTTAAAAGTATTTTATATTTTTACTTAAAAATTTGTATCTGGTTATTTTTGGGGATGACAAATCTAATGAAATTGGATTGATTATTTGTGTGATTATTTACGCAAAAAATGCCATGGCTATTGACGTAAAGGAATGCTTGAAATTCTTAATCAGTCTTGACATGAGTCTTGATAAAACCTTTTTATTGATATCTCTGATATCAATAAAGAGGTTTTATCAATTGAATTAATTACTAAAAAAGCTAAAAATATTATATTTAGTTGTTGTTATCGCCCACCATCTGGCATATTCAAGGGCAGATGACCAGAGGCCAAATGCCCCAGAGCACTTAAAGATCATTTTTTTAAAATATTATAACTAAACACAAAATTTGCTGCAACTTTTAATATAATGCAAGTGATAAAAAATAAATAAGCAACAAACATTTGGTCTCAATAATAAGTATTATAATAATTACAACAATTGTTAACCGTCTAAAAGAAAGGAGTTAAACTCTTATCTGAACTTAATTTTGCAAACATTTTAACAGTACATCTAAATCAAAGTTATAATCATAGTGGATGTGCATTAAAGCCAACTCAGAAAGTCTGTCATTTTATTGCTCTTGGGTACAAGAGCAATAAAATGATAGGTAGTGACTAGAAATAAACATTCAAGGAAAAAAAAAGAATGTAGTTATTTGTAAAATATTTGCCCCCTGGTGTCGTCGGCTCTACATTTCTAAATTTATCTACATTTTCTAGCGTTCCACGCAGAGGTATACTAGGGTGACCCAAAAATGCAAAAAAAAATTAAAACTTAGCTAAGGTATCCTGTGGATTTTGCTACATAAAATGAGTTCACAGGAAAAATTTTAAGTATGCTGGATGCTTGTAACAGCTACAAGTAAAAATCCATTTTTACAAGAAATTAGCATTTTTATTTTATAAACAAGTATATTTTAAATGTTTGTACAATAAAATGATATCTTTTACATTGTGTAAGGTATTTGACACGATTATTTTAGACATTATAAGTAATACATGTATTATAATGTTAAAAATCAATTTATTTGACGAATTTCAGCAGATATTATTTTCCTGTTCAAGCTTATGTAACAAAGGAATTAGTAGATTAATGCTGATATACAATAAAAATACTTTTGTTTGTTTCTTTTCATATTATTTTATTCATAATCATATTGACAATGCCCACCAACTCCTCTGTCCCTTTATCCTTACTCTAAGTCCTAGTACCCCACCACCCCACTGTTGCTACTGTCTGCCATTAAGTTCTTATCATACTATTACTCAATACGCTTAAAAGCACAAATTATTAATTTTTATATTTAACTTTATAAATGTTTAAATCAATTCTTTGTTCAAACATTTGAATATTTCAGAAAAATGGGAAAAGCTAAAGCTAAAAAAGGAGCTGTAAAGCCAATCAATTACAACCAAGAAGACCTGTCTATCTTCTTGAAACTCTACTGAGCTCTCTACCTTGCCTACTAATGGTCTTGTTACTAGATATTTTCTGTATGTTATTTACCCCAGGGTTAAAAGGTTCAGACCAATCAAGACTAACTTTGTTTGTGCACAAAAGACACCTGGAGATATGAAGTGCAAGGGAACTGATGGACCTTGCAACGCTGTGACTGGAGAACACTGCTTGCTCCGGAGTATAGTAAATATTTGGGCCTCTTGTGGTTTCTAGAACTATGTTCTTTCAGATGTAAGCATACTAAACAAATTTCTAAAAATTTACAAGCAATTTAAATCTGTTTGTAATGAAAAAACAAAATATAACCAAATGCATCTCAAAGGCAGCAAGAAAAGTTCCTGATAATGACAGATAACCTGTTTGACATCAGTTCTCAACAGTTTGAGTACACCATGCGTCAGGATACTTCTGTGCCAATAGACAGTGCTACAATAAAAGAAGACCTAGACTTTCTTCAAGATCAAA